GGGGGGGGGGGGGGGGGGGGGGGGGGGGGGTGAAACGCTTGGTAGGTGCAAGGGGTGGAGGGAAGATGGGGATTATTTCCTGGCGGATACGAAATACGTCCATCCGATATCCGGTCAACACATCCCCTCTCAGAGCCATTTAGCATGGGCAGACCATTTTTCTGTCATGTTCTCCGAGGCTGCGCGGGAGGCGCAAAGCTCCGTGCAATCCGGATCCGATTACACTTCCTGGATGCCCGAATTCCTTTTTAAACAAACGGAATCCACCGAATGCCCAGACTCGGGGGGCAGGAAGACCTACGATCCCAAAAGGAAAACGGTAAGTCGTACCCCCGACGCTGCAAGGAGCTTCCGCCGCTCGAGCTTTTCCGGTTGGCTGGCCACGAAGGTAAGCCCTCGCCGTGGTGCGGGTCCTTGGCCCGAGGTTGAGGCGGTCTCCTGGCACAATGCGTATACCCCCCACCGTTGTGGGTACGTCTCGCGCTTTCTGGGGCCACGCAGCTCTCGGTGCTGCACATCCTGGACCTTCAGCAACCGAACGACATCCTGCCCCAATCGAAGCACTCTGTGCTCCTCCATGGGGCTTCGATTTGGGTAGCATGTTGCCGACCTGTCGAAGGTCAAAGATGTGCAACACCAAAGAGTTGCGTGGCCTCCACCTCCCGGATTGCCCAAGAGGTACGTTCCCGCAACGACAAGGGGCATGCGCGTGCTCGGAGGCCGCCAGAACCGCGGGCCAAGAATCCGCACCAGGGCGAGGGCGGGACCTTCGTGGCCAACCAACCGGAAGGGCTCGAGCCGCGGAAACCCCTTGCAGCGCATGCCAGACGCGAAGAAGACGCACGCGAGGTCGAGCGCCGGCGGGGCGCCCATGGCACCCCGGACGCGCAGTACGGGGAAGTGCTTGTATTGGGGCCGCAGAGGCCATGAACACCGCCGCCGTAGCGCGGTTGGGCACTGGCTGCAGCAGATTCGAGGGAGGAGCCGGGGCTGCAGCCGGAGGCATGCTTTCGAGTACCGACCCTCGGCAGTCACGAAGTTTCGGGGTCGCGGAAAGAGGTCTCGTTCTGTTGCAAAACTTCAAGATATTCCATCCAGTCCGATCCGTGACTTCACAAATTGTTCCAGATTTGGATGCATCCGATCGGATCGGTATTTTGCCGGCTGAACCTCCACCAAACTCTAGAGTTGGAATCGCTGACTATCGTTCCTTTCACAAATGAAAAATCATACACCAAGAGTTAAGTGGAACAATCCAGACTAACCTGGTCCGGGCGCAGAGTCTGGGTGTGCAAATCCGGATAAGGCCCGGTCTGAGGACGCTCACAATACACGCACTTTTTTACGATCCTCGTTTTCATACCTGCTACATATGCAGATCTGAAGGAATGCTGGCATAGCAGTCTATAATCCGCAACATATGCTCACTTCTCACGTTACTTCGCGATAGGTACATACAACGTATTTTTTCGCCTTCACGTTAAACGCTTGGCGTTTGGTCTAACACTATCTTTTCGTGAAGTACTACAGTAACTTGCGGGCCTAGAAGCGGAGCCTGGCCCCATGTACTCCTGTAGGTGGGAACAGGGTACCTCGTTCACTGGTGTGGTACCTACAGCAGTCGCATCGAGTCTGCATTATAGCTCCTCGCGTCCGTTGGTGCGTTGTGGCGTTCGAGAGTTCATTTGTCGAGTTGCACATCCAAGCAGGAATCACGCTACATATGCACAAGATCAGGGGCTTTCGGTTTCGGTTGCATTGGACGCTACATAGACTAGACTTCGCTGTGTGAGACGACACTCCACATCATGAGATACACGAACAGAACATGCACGCTTCGGACGCCCGTTTGAAATCAACGCGCATGCTTCGTACCGAACAGCCATCAGGAAAGGGTAGCGGCATGGGACTCTCTACCCAACTACCTATGTTGCAATTGGTGTGACTACGGGGTGCACCCGGCTGTATTCAGTTGTTCGGGCACGGGACTGCAACGGATCGCCCATCTTACATGTAACATGTAGTCTAGTGTGGGCATGCGGGCATGTCCGGGGCGGAGCAAGGTACAGCATGATTTGCGCAAGGAGAAACGCGCGACAAATGAGGCCTGCGACGACTGGAGTTAACGGCGCCAGTGAAAGAAAGCACCACACCTGGACACAACTGCTTATATTTTACAGCATCCATACGCCACTCACCCCGCATCGCGCCACTGATTGTTGATGAAAAGTTTGGTGGTAGCAGGCGGGGCGATCCTGTCCGTCATCATCGTTGTTGTTGTTGCTGTGATTGGAATGTGATCGGCTCCCCTTGACGTCAGCAGCCCCTTCAAAATCGGCGCCGCCGCGAATCGCCTGGCGAACTTAATGATATTCTTGGCTGCAAACACATGCGGTGTTAGCTGTGTGCGTCTCTGCCGGAAAGCAAACTGCTGTGTGGGTACATCAGCAGTGGAGGTGGGTCTGTAGTAGTCTGTAGCGGGGTCCAAAGCGGGGAAGAAAGCCTGATTGCCCCGCATCTTGAAAAGAAAAAAAACGCATGTTTCAGCTATCCGTTCAACGTCCGTGCCCGATGGAAGGCCCGCCGTTCATGTCGCCTGTATTGCAATAGGGCCGGGGAGACTGCCGCTAGTAGCATACAGGAGGATACGCAGAAGTACAACACTGGCGCTGCGCCGGAGCGCTTTGTGTGCGCCGTTGTTGCCGTTTCTTCAAGCACCAACAGCAAAGCAACCCAGAAAAAGGTCGGGATGCTGCCCATGCGCGCGACCTTGGTCGTTGCCTGGACTGCGGTTTTCTGTGTAGGTCGCTCGGAGGCTCTTATGCGCGGTGAGCAGCACTGCCTGTTGGCAGGAACAGAGCAGCAGCAGAGAAAAGAAAGACAGGGAGAGAGCTCCCTGGATCACAGCAAAAGAGTGTACGTACACAGCAGCGCGTTGCACGTCGGAAGCTGACAGTCCCGCGAATGACGAAAGAACGGCGTGTTTTTCGAGGCTGCCCTTATCGTATCCCGCGCTATTTCCGTTTGTCTCCCAGAGCGTCCACGTGCCACTTCCTCTATCCTGTACCCTCCGGTCTAACTCTGACAACCGCATCGCCACCTCTTCCCCCAAAACAGCGGCCTTAGCTCCCTCGACCAAGGCTGGCGGTGTCGGCGGCGGCTCGGGTACCAACCACATCTTTCGCTATCCGCAACACTGCGCAGCAGTAGCCCCTTCCGGCAGCGCTTGGAGCCGCAGAAGCGCGTTGACACCCGGCCGTGCGGCTCCCCGAAGAGGAGGGTTGGAGTCGTCTTCCGCCGGTGTCGGTGTATTGAGTATGTCTGGCGGAGGCACCGACGGGGGGCCCGCCGGGGCGCAAGATAAGAGGAAGTCCTTTTCCCCGGAGGAAGGAGTATCCAAGGGCGGGGTGGAGGGCGACAGCAAGGTTAAGGTGCCCTGGGTGTCCTGGGTGTCCCTGGCGATGCTGCTACTGGTTTACATCAGCAATCAGTGGACTAGGAGCCTCGTTTACTGTGAGCGCCAGGCTAGGCTACGTGGAATGATTTATGGTGTACAATGAAGAACACCTGCACGATGTTTTGTCTCCAACTGGGCTGCATTCGGCACCGTTACCCCCTCTTGATTCTACTACAGTGTACCTTCCTGGGCAGTGCTTTTTTGCCACTTCCACGCCTGGAATACTAAGGGTCTCCGTCTTTATGGTGGCGCGACTCTCGTAGGCACATAACGTTGGTCTTACCCTTTGTCTTTTATCCATGACTTGATCTCCAGACAGCTTGTCGTCACACACTGACAGACGCGTCAAGTTTCCACGTGGCGAGCCGGCAGCGACCGACCGAAGCCACCCTCTTTAATTTCTGACTTCACTTGCCCCCGTCATTCGTCGCGTTGCCTACGCTGCTGATACTCGCCATCTGGTGGCTGTGGCTGTGGCTCTCTGTGACCGCTGTGGCTCACGCTGTGGTTGTTCGGTGCGGGCGGGTGTCAATACATCAGACGTGCAGAACTTCGATGTGGCGACGACCGAAGCTACCGCCAAGGAGTTCATGAACGTCAGCCTCGGGTTTGACGAGACTCAGTACGGTGAGCCGGCCTTCCACTCTTTCCCAGGGAGCACCTTGGAATGGTAAAGCAGTACCTCTTCACTAGATGGGAACGACAGCAATCCAAGAGGCTGCAGGGGGACCGTCACGCGCCCCAGTACCCTAAGTGGCGCTCTTTTCCTCCCTGAACATCCACGGATGATGCAGAAGTACTAACCGGTCGAGCCTGATTTCAGTGTTATCCGGGCGGTGGCACGACACGGCTCGGCTCACATTGTTCGCGAGCGGCCAAGAAGAAGTTACGTGAGCATCGTGGATCTTTCAAATCCCTTTCACGCCTTCGTGGCCACTGAACACAAATGACACCTATAACGACGAGCGAGTGGTTCGCTCGCGCCGTCGTTGATTGCGTCTGCCTCGTTTGCATGGTATCAAACCTCTTCTAGTATGATGCGGACTCGAGGGAAACGTGTACAGGCGACATTGATCCTTCACGGGAGCCATGATTGCTTGACGCTGCTCTTCAGCACCCCCCGCCTCCTACAGTTTGCACAGCAGTGACGTCAACGACATGCCTTGCGCGTTCCTCGACGTCCCTTGTCACACGGCCCTGCGCGCGTGTGATCAACGCAACTACGGCGACAGGGTTGCTGGCATCATTTAGCTTCACCCTGCTCTTCAGCACCTGCAGCCTCATCGCCGGCCGCGCCGTAGACGTCGTCAGCCGCAAGACGGCGACCGTGGCGTCGTGCCTGGTCTGGTCCGCGATGGCCGCGGGCACCTCTGTCGCCAACGGCTTCCCCACCGTCTTTGGGCTCAGGGTTCTGCAAGGCTCTGCCCAGGCATTCACGGTGAGCTCTGTAGGCCGGCTTGGTGTCCCCGGAACAACTTGCGTGTGAACCGACAGCTGTTGGGGGGGACGCCTTGTTTGTTCGGTTCACGGTGAGCTCTGAGACAAACTTCGTGCCCACCAACTCGCGTGTGAACCTGTTGGTTAGACGCATTTTGTGGCCGGTTCACCGTGAGCTCTTAGACCAGCTTCGTGCCCACGTTCTTGCATCGTATTTGAAACGACCATTGGTGGTTGCACGCATTTTACGTACGGCTTCGTGGGAAGTAGCTGCTATTGGCGGGTATTGTCGGACAATTTTGGTATCTTCGTGCATGTGGTATGCGTTCTCTGAAGTGTGCTCGGGCGGGCACCAGCGTTTATCGTCCGCGTTTTTGTGCAGCCGCATGATTTGTTATCTCCTTGCCCGAAGCGATGGTTGGTAGGAAAATTTTGTATTCCATTGTGTTGCGCTTTTTTTGCGGAAACCTTGGTGCTCGGCCGGTACGTTCGACCCCCATATCTCCATACCCTCGTGTCCTCGTCACGTGCGTCACCGCTGCTGCTGCGTGTGTTCCACCTTCCTCTCCCGAAGCACGAAGATGTTCGATATGTATTTTCTTACTGGTAGAAAAAAAATGTCATGCATGTCCGGGATAGGATTATGAATATTTTCTGTTTGTCCGCTACTCACTTCACACATGCATCTATCCACAAGAAGCGGTTATTTAACGTCACTTTTTATGGTCCGTTCGGGCAAATGTTCACAATATTTTCCCCTGCACAAAGGTGCACTTTTCTCGGGGTGGGGGTACTTATTCCGAAATCTGAAAATACCGCGTAAATCGACGTTTCAAGGCGCTTCTTCGTACGGAGATTTTTTTTTTTTTTCGTCCTTCGCTCGATATGTTCAGATATTCAAGAAATCTTGCTTACTTTCTGGAGGGCGGTGTTTTTTGCAGACACAAAATCTGAGACCGGATTTGGACAGCTCTCGTGATTTGCCACCGATGATTTTTTTCCGATTT